GATAAGGGCTGTTTCAGAGTGAGAAATTGTCCATCCTTAACAAAAGCAGAACTACCCAGAATCTGGTGTGCACTTTTTATTACGCCAAGAGAAAGGAAAGCAAAAATTTATTCAGACAGTACTTTAGCAATAGAAGGTATAAAAGAAAGAAAGAAAAAAAGGAGAATACGACAGATTTTGAATGAAGAAAATCATAATTTAATAGATAGCATAGTTGATATAATTAGAATGAAAAACATTCAATTAGAATTAGTAAAAATTAGAGGTTATAGTGAAAATAGATAGAATAATTTAGCAGATAGATTAGCAAAACAAGGAGCCAAAATAGAAGATAGAGATAGTATTATAGAAAAATCTTCTCAAGACTCGAACGTCTCTTTGTGCTGGGAAGGTCTACCAATAGAAAGTTCTGCTAGGCAATTTGTACAAACAATTCTTGACTTTCAAATAGGTATAGATTGAAGATTAACATCAGTAATACAGAAAAAAGAACCAGAAGACGCAACAAATATACAACATTGGCCCATTCTCTGGAGAAAAATTAAAAGCCAATCTGGAATCAAATGTACAAGCCCAAAGAAAAACAAACGCTTCAGTATTTTGGTCAAATGCCTTCACGAGAAATTGCCAGTTCTCAAGACTCTAATCAGCAGAAGACCAGACCTATATGAAAATTCTTTGTGTATATTATGTAGAAAAAAACAAAGAGGAAGACCAAGATCATCTGATCAAATGCGAGAAATATGAAGAAAAATGGGTAGAAACTGAACAAGTTATAACAAATATAGCCTGGGTGAATTTTTAAAGAGAAACAAGAGAGCAACTCAACAAAGTAAATCTTAAGACCATGTTCTGGAGTTCATTGAAAGAGGAAAAAGCAGAACAAGAAATGGCATTCTTAAAGACTTAATTCAAGAAAAGACCTTCAGAAAGATCCTTGATACCATAAAATCTCTAAAGGAAGCAAAGAATTTTCTGGAATCCGTGGTAAGTGTAGCATAAAATTTCTTTTATGAGAATATATGGAAGCGAAGATGCCTAGCATTTAACGATTGGAAAAAGAAAAAAAGGAATCAATACAAAACTGAAGAGGAAGAAAAAACTAGAAACAGAAGAACCAAGACTCAGCACAGAACAGGCACAAGAATTTTTAGAGGAGTTTACTTCAAACCAAGACCAAACCAGAGAAAAGGTCAAAAAGAAAGAAACAAGTAATATAAAAGAGAAAGAAAAACAAAAAAAGAAAAAATCCTGGTTAACGTCAGTTAAAAATTTTTATGAAAATAAAGTGAAGCCATTCTGGTATGGTTTCAATAGCTAGCTTGGTATAGCCCTCTGGTGCAGTCAAAAGCCTTATCCGGTATAGCAAACCACTCTTGAGCATCTCTTGAGGCAACCAAGAGATGTCGGATCTGTAACTTAGATAGTTAATTATATGTATATATATGCTTTGATCTAATAAAGATACCGGCGAGGCTGCCGATAGTTAAAAAAAAAATATTAATATTATAACTTGTCAAGATATTAAATATCAGGATTTGTGATAAAACTCAAATTATAGATAAATACTAGTAAAAAGTATACTGGCAAGACTGTCAAATTAAAAGCAATAGATATAGTTGATACTATCTAATTGTATACTATATATTTGTTAAAATTATAATACAGTATATATATTTAAGCAGGTATTTATTTTTGGTACACCTTGCACTTGATGCATCCTTTTTAATATCTTAAAATTTTACTAGAGTAATTTCTGTTGTATAACTAATAAAAAATACTCTCCATAAAGTTTTTACTCTAACCCAACCTTAATCCTAACCCTAACCCTAACTCTAATTTAATTCTTATTTATATTGAATTTGCTATAGTTTGCTATAGGATACACTATGTGCACTCTGCACCAAATATAAATTTTCTATTTAAATTATAAGAACTATTTTTATATTAGTAATAAAAAAAAACAATTTTTTATAAATTTAGAAAAAATATACAATTAGACAGTATACAGTTAAACAGTATACAATTAGACAGTATCAACTGTATAATAATCAACTATTATAAAAATTATTTATTAATAATATTTAATAAGTTAATGCTATATATTAAATCTATAATAAACAAATTGGCTGCTTAGGCGGGTCGCACCTGGGCTTTAATGCCGAGTGAGTCTTTATTAGTACAGGAATATAGTATAGAAAATTTATATTTAACTTAAATGTAAAGTTCTGGTACTTCCGATTTAAATAATAAAGGCAGGATCGCCAAAAAAAAAAAAAATTAAATCTATAATAAAAAATAGCACCTTATTAATATTATTTCAAAAGCCAAAAGCTACTAAAATGTACGTTTTTGAAGCTATTATTGTTAAAGATATTAAGTGAACAAGATATTTTAGTAATTATAAAGTTAATAATTAAATATTGCAAAGATTGCATTTTGAAAATTCAATTGTCTATATAAATAGGTGCCGATCAAAATCCCGACAAGCACAATCCCGACAGGTCATAATCCCGACAAAAAAAATCCCGATAGTCAAAATCCCGACAATTAAAAATCCCGACAGTCAGATTTTTAACTGTCGGATTTTGGCTGTCGGGATTTTTTTGTCGAGATTATGACCTGTCGGGATTTCGCTTGTCGGGATTTTGATCCAAACCTATATAAATTGGAACAAAGTACATACATTTCAATTCATAAAATTGGTCTACCGTTTAAAAATGAATAAAAGTTAAAAATTTTAAATAATGCGAATAAAATTAACATTTCCAATACTTTTACAAAAACATGACATGAATTAAAAGTATTTAAAATTCAAAATGATTATAGAACTTTAAAAGTTCGAAATGACTATGGATTTTGTGGTAATACTCCAGAAAGAAAATCCCACTCATAGTAAGATTATTCGCAATGTATTAAATTTAGTAATTTATATGCATTAGTAAGATTAATCTCCGATTTTGATTATTAAAGACACAGATATCGACCCGATCTTAATATATAAAAGTAATGAGATAGTAATTATGAGCGATTTTGGTCAATAATGGGTAATAAAAATAAAAAGGATTCGGAGATATATAATGTAATGTAATGCAATAAATTAATATTAGATACATTATTTCCGTTTCTATTAACTCATCTTTAATAATTAAAATTAGTCAATCACAATATTAAGCGTTTTCTAAACCGGATTTGAAACACATCTTTCGATTAATGTCGCATAAATTGTTAATAAACAAATTTAATCCATCTCTGGGAAGAACTTGTTTCATTGGTTTTACAGTTTCATCCATATGTGTAAGTATTTCAAAAACGATCTCTTTTTTTTAGTTACTCCATGTGCATTAGTTAAGTTTTTTTTAGATTGTGCATTTTTACCACTTACCATTTTTAATCGCACGATTCATACGAAATCACGTGCCTTTTAAGCTTATTTTATACCAAGATGCCTATTGAAAGATCACGTTTAATGATATTAGCATAATTCGTTGCGAGAGTACACGTGTTTTATAAAAATGGTGCGTCGAGATTATCTACGTATCAGTATTGTGCGTATGTACTGTTACGCACGTACGTATAGGGTGTGTAACGGCCTATTAAAATCAAACATAGGCAGGGTCGCCACTAATTGCGGATTTTTTATGGGTATCGATGCACACATATCAATCTTATTAAAACAAAAATTACATTTATTGAAATAAATAATTAAATAGAATACTATTTTTTAAAAAAAAATTGAACCTCAAGACTAGCTCTACACTGAAATAGAGCTATTTTTTAATATTTTTATAAAAAATGTTTAGAACACTATTTTACTTTTTTAAAAAAAAAAGATTAAAAAAATAGCTTTATTTCAGTGTAAAGCTGGTTTAGAGCTTCAATTTTTTTTTAAAAAAAAATAGCATATTATTTAATTAATTATTTATTTCAAAAAATGTAATTTTATTTTAGTAAAATTTATAGCGATAATCATACGTATTAATGTGGGGTTCGATTTACAATATAATTATATTAGGCCTTCCAACATAATAAATTACCGGTTTACCTTCGAATCCCGATACCCAGAATCCCAACGTTCGAAATCCGAAAGCAATTTTTGATGCTATCAGGGTTTTGTTTTCGGGATTTTAAGCGTCGGGATTTTAAGTATCGGGATTTTGAGGTGAAACCAAAATTACAATTAGAAAATCCGCAATTAGTGATGATCATTAATAACCCTGCCTATGTTTGGCCCTAACGTACGTACGTACATACGTACGCACATACTGTACGTACAGTACATCACTATGACAATCGCCCAGTTGTTGACAACTATAAATTTTGTTGATAGTTGGTAAAATACGTAGTCTTTAGTTAAATAAATTTAGTGTTAGTTTCACAAATATGAATTGTCATTATACATATCGATGACGGTCCTGAATCATAACCATTTGTTTTGCTTAACATAACGGTAGGCTCATTCATTGAAACAGATTCTGGAAATTTTTATATTTCTTATTTTATTAATTATCCGGGACAAGGAAAAAAGGCATACAAGCTTGATTGAATAGTTCGAGGCGACGCTAAGTATGTTTTATAATTGGAAAAGAAATCCCGACAAAGGGAATGAGTTATCCGTGTTATGTCTTTATACTTTATTAAATTAGAGTGTCTCTTTCATTCAAACCTCTTTTTATTTGCATGTGCTTGAAAAATGGCAATTTGTTACATGCTACTAATCGATCATTGGTTCACTACAGATTAATTTTATTACTTAATAAATTCCGTTGATTATATAACTTACTTTAAAAAATCTGACCTTGTGAAGGCTGTGGAGTACCTTTTTCCGTAAGACTGCGTCAGGAATAAATTAAAATAAATCAGGCTGCATTACCAATTTACTTTCTTTACAATATTAAACTAACATTGAAAAAAAACATTGAACACCAAATATAAATAGTCACATCAATTTATTATATAAAAACAAGGCTTTCATTCGTAAGTCTGAAAGCTCTAAAAAGATGGAGAGCAGTCAAGAAATTAGTAATGAATTTGCCGAAATTAACGTGCCGTATCCTTGTTCTATTGACCCGATGGATTTCCTATCGCGAAAATGCAAACGAGGTAAAAAACCATCCAAGTCCTCCAATGCATTTATGATTTATCGGAAAATGTTTTCTAAAGAACTAAGGAAGAAAAATCATAAAATACCGCAATCTAAAATTTCCGGCATGGCCTCCGCTTCTTGGAAAAATGAATCTAAGGATATTAAAGATGCTTACCATAAGCTGGCTGAAGATGTAGACCGTTTATTTCTGGAGTCACATAACGACAATTCTGTTGAAAATCCAATTGAACCGGTAAATGCTAATAGCGAAGGTATCGAATCATCATCGTTGATTCCAAATCCTCAAAATATCGATATCTCGGCCGATAATATCCTAGAACATAACTTATACATAAATGCCCAGATACTACCATATTATTGGCCCGTTTCCGAATATCAATTTACATATGATGTTGCTAGTATGACATATTGTATTACGTCTATTTATGATAACTGATGCGTAACGAAAAATTATGTATATCGTTGTCTGATATAAATATATATAGCAATTAAATATACCTTAATGGGTATGTTATTATTTTTGCTTAATGTAGGGTTATTCAGTAACAGTAACGGTAATGATATGTGATAAGTTTCACCAAATAAGAAATTAAGACTTAAAATGTTAATAAAACCTTATGAATTGTGAAACATGTAACAATACTACGGAAAAATTTGTCCGGCGTACTGCATAGATTCAAATGTTACCATTGTTATATTATCAATAAACCCGATTGTAATGGCATGTGAAATCATGAAAAAAAAAGTTCCTAAACTTACTATTTCAACTAGTTGCGGAGAAAATCTTTCAGAAATCTGGCATTACTGCAATTACCAAACAATAGTATATTTCTTCATAGCAGCATCAAAATGACCTTTACCTAAAAACATTCAAAGGTCCTGCGGAAGCTGCAAGTTAACAGTGATTTCCATTGCATCAAGTTATTAACAAACAAGTGAATTTAATCCGAGATATAGTATGATTTATCTATTATTTAAACTCGGAAAAAACTCGTTCGTATCATGATCTAATTTGAAACTTGTAATCTTGGGTTTATTTTACTACTATTAAAGGGGACAGTAAAAATAGTTGATCTATTATCTTATGAATCTGTGTGCCATTCTCGTTTTACTTTTATTTACCAATAGTTATTTCAACTTGACAAGTTTGTTTTTACTTATAATTAGTTTTAAATGAGTCTGGCCTTAAAAAATTAACTCATAAACTTATCGGTTAAGTCCGAACCTTGGTTCGGAGACAGAATTTTAATTTTCCGAAAAGTTAGGCGAATTAGAATTTCTGAAAACAGTTATAAACTCTTTAGTGAACTGAATGTCGGTAAATTGCAGATGAAGTGATTTGTCAGTAAATTTTAAATTGATTTTCCTGTATAGTGAATTGAATGTCGGTAAATTGCAGATGAAGCGATTTGTCAGTAAATTTTAAATTGATTTTCCTGTAAAGTGACAGGGACGTGTATCATTCAATCATTCAATATCCCTCTTTTTGGAGATAGTGTTTTAGCCATCCCTCTATTTGACATCGCTTCAATGCACAGATTTAATTCTAATCTTTCAATCTTGAAACCTCATCTTCATTTGCTCTATTTGTACTTTCTGTGCAAATTAAATTATGCACTCACAGATGCGTGATTAATAATATCGTGAGGTTACATAATTACGATAAGCAATATTTTAAACTTCATAGATATGTTACCAATTCATCCCATCTTTTCTATACAATTGCCTAATAAAATCTAGAAGCTTTTAATTCCAGACTCGGATAACAAAACATATTATTTATAGAAATGATATAAATTCATGCTTATGTATTTAAAATTTACGTATGACACAATCTCGTCATGCGACGCATTAATTATAAGAAACTTATTGAGGCTATTGCACCCATTCTTTTTTACTGTTGTGATCGCTAACTTCTATTAAACGTCAGATAACAAAACATCTTATTTATAGGAATGATATAAATTCATGCTTATGTACAGTACTTAAATTTATGTATGACACAATCTCATCATGGACGCATTATATTATAAGAAACTTATTGAGGCTATTGTACACATTCTTTTTTACTGCTGTGATCGCTAACTTCTTTTCATCTTTTTCCTAATTTCGATCACAAAATCATAAATAAAGTTTATCCGAATTTGGATTACAGGCGAACTCTTCAATAAGACAGTATCGTTTTCGATCTTGATAATAAAAAATTGTTTTGGAAATCTCACATGACATCATAGTTTGGATGGTATCACCAATGACTGTTTATGAAAATAATTTGATTATTTTGAGGTTAACAATAGGAATTACCTTTAAAGGAAAACGGTACTACCGCGGCATTCGTCTCGATCAAGAATGTTGGATATTTTATATGTACATACGTACGTACATACATAGATACAGTCAAACTAATTTCTTTATAATCACTCTATATATAAAAAATTTTTTATATCTATTTTAAAAATTAACTATAGAAAACAATCTCTATATAAGCAAATTCTTTATAAGTAAAAATGTTGGTGAAATTAAACCAGAGTGGTGAATTAATTTCATCACTATTGGTGAAATTGGCGTTTAATTTGTTAATTTTGGTGATATTAATTAATTAACGATCTTTTGCAGTATAAGTGACCCTTTAATAAAATAATGTGGGTCACCTATACTGAAAAAAGATCCGAAACTAATTCCACCGACATCTCTATTAATATGGCCCAATGGTGTGATCATAGTAAGATTAGACTGTATGAAAAAACACATGGTAAGATTACACTAACGAGTGCCATTATTGTTAAAAGCCTTGTTCACTGGTAATTCTCACACACAGTACTTTATTACATAATTTATTACATAATGTTATAAAATGAATATAACAATAACCAACGGGCAAGTCGTTTAACAACATTAATAAGATGTAACAACGTATTATCATAAATTTGCACCTATATTATCAAAAATATAGGTGCAAATTTATGATATTACTTAATTATTCCTATATAAAAAGCTACATCAAACAGATTTATAGTGAGACTATGGACTAGATTTAGCCCTCGATCAGAGGCATATATGATTATGAATCTGCAAGTCCGGCACTAAAAAAAGGCACAGGCATGAGCACATATGTAAGACATCTGGCATAAAGTTAATGGGCACTTTTGAGGCACAAAGTATTTGGCACATGTTGGGCACTTTGTGTTATAAGCATGAAAGACCAATTCTAAACCTTCAGGCACTAGGCACAAAGTGCATGCCCTAAAGGTGCCTAGAACATTATATGCGTGCCTACAAAATGCCTGAAATTTTTGTGCTCATGGGCACAGGCAACCTTACAAGCATTAGTGCCAGGCATGATACCTAATATGCCCGGCGCGGGCATTTGCAGATTCCTTTATATAATACGTAGGTAATTTAATTACGTATATTATATGTCACCGGTCAGGACTTAGTTTGGTATGTAATAAATAATAAACTTGCACTTTTTTTTTTTTTGGCGTCACTCATATAAAGCGTAACTAGTGACATAAATAAATCTGCATCTATCCCTTACCACCATCATTATGAAGCTTGAAATACGATGTATCAATTACAATAGATAACTAGTAGATTCTGCAGAGCGCTTTGCACTTGCAGAACCCTAATTGACCGTGATAATTTGCCCGCATATATGACAATGTTGTTTAGTTACATATTTTCGGAGTTCGGAGATGAAAGGTTTTAATCTCAGAAATAGGAGAATGGATAATATGGCAATAAATTATTATTACATAGAATCTTTGTATTTTTTATTGTGACATATATGATCTACGTATTTAACTCACATGATCTACAAATATTATGAAGATCCTAAACTTAAATAAAAATTCACGCGTTATATGTACAAATATGGATAACTAAAAATTGTCAAGTGTATGTTTTCTTCAAGCGAGCAGTTTCAAATTCGATTTTTCGATTGAAACGGATCGATTTTTGGATCAGTTCAGCAAAACAAAAAATGAAACAAAATGAGAATAAAAATGGGAACCTAAACTAACTTTGAACTGTCAAAAATGTTATGGGTTGCCCCGTTAATATCAAACCATTTGGATTAGACAATTATGTTGATATGTGCGAGGGTTGATAACAGCGGAATATTTTTTATACAGCCTAAAGCCTATCATTAGGGCGACTTTTTACACTACCCTAAATTTATGACGTAGTTATGATAGATATTTAACGTGAGGCAAATCATTTGACTATAAGTGTATTTATAAGAAGAGATGAATTTTAATGTAAAAATGAATTTTAAAGTAAAAGGAGATGGGTTGACGTGATAATTATATTAGTTTTATTGTTTTTGGGGTTCAGTTTAATAAATGCGTCATATGGTTGACGTACATATCATGTAATAATTAAATAGTAATTCGGGGTTTTTAATTTTTGCCCAATTCCAAAAATGCGCCAGAATGTTTTTTCTTAATAAGAGGTTGATATTAACGGGGTAACCTGTATTTGATTGTAATACTTGTTCTAACCAATGTTTAACTAATCATATCCTTATTTCTTTGTTAAACCGTGACACTGCCTCTCTGCCTCTCTAAATAAGACAACTGGCGCGTTACTATTAAGAAGATATCACTGATACGTAAATAATTATTATATAAAATACTTCTTAAAGTACGAGATACTAAAAATAAACTGTGTTTGGGAGTTATCTTACAGATATCTATATGCTAACAGGTTTTATCATAACCCTTGATTATTTTTTTTACTAAAAACGCGTAACTTTGATTCAAAATGAGTATAGATCTTTGTTAAGAATTGTTTTCTTTGTTCTTTGTTTACTTTTAAAAGCATTTTGTGTACAAAATCATTTTTCCTGGACGCTGAAACTTTATTATTGATGATGCAAGATATATTTCTGTAAGTATCTACATACATCTATGAATTCTTTTTCATTATTAGGATCTTCTTTAAATAATGTCAACTTTTGAATTATAAATTCTATTAATGTCGTGCAAATCATTGTGAAATTACTATGCTTGATCGAAAAAAATTGTATTTGGCTTTATTAAATGTTATCTTTATAGATCTTGTGTGAATATTTATCTAATCCTAAGAAAGCAATTTGGGAAAACAATAGATATACAAAAAAAGTGTGTGGTGGCTTGCATTTGCAAATCTACTTTATTATTAATTATATTAAGGTAATATAAAAATATTTATAACGCGCGTATTATTATTGGATGCAGTTGGGACATTGGTTTATTCCATGCATATTAAAAAAAAAAGAAAATAAAATTAATGATTGAATAGCTCTTACACTAGATCACGTGAGCATATATGCAAATGCAAAATATATGCTATGACCTTGCTTAGATAAAAAAAAAGAGCAAGATGCATGCCATTGTCGTAGACTATAAAAATAGTCGAATATTCCTTCTCTATTTCAACTGGACTCGAGCAACGGCTCCACAGTGCTTTTTGACTTCACCGTTTTTTTTCTTTTTACCTATAAACTTTATATTCGTCTTTATTTTATTGTTAACAAAAAGAAAAAAAAATAATGGCAGAGTACCCCAATTTAGAATTAAATTGTCATTTTACGACCATGATGGTGGAGCCACCTCTAATCCATCTTCCCTTTCCGCCTACTATCACGGCGCATGATATTCTTATGAGACGTCCACAGTCAAGAATTCGGTCCAAGAGTCCAAATGCTTTCTTTATTTATAGGAAAGCATTTTTTGACCAACTTGCACTTTTAAATCAACGATTCCAAATGACGTATGTATCCAAATTAGTCAGCGAGTATTGGAAAAATGAATCCGAACAGGTTAAAAGTGCATATAAAAGGATTGCGGAAGAAGTAGAGGAAAAATTGAATGAAGCGAGAATAAAGGCTTTAGTCTACCCGGATGCTTCACAAAAACAAAATGATCAAAAAAAAACGAAGAAAACTCGCAAGAGACGCAATTATAATAATAATAACGTTCAAGAGTCGAATATCGCCCAAAGTAACCCGCAACTCTTACAGCCACAAATTCATACCGCCGATAACGATCAATCTACATTCGAAATACAATACTTCGACGGACAATATTTTCACGATGACCAAATGTTCCAACTTTTGTATAATAATACATGGTGGTATCAATAATTTTTTATTTATTCTTTTTTTTTTTTTATAAGTTAAACCTGTTTTCTCTTCTCTTATATGTTTTATATGCTTATTTTATTAAATTTTGTATGTTTTATTTTTTTTTTTGAAAGAAAGTTTTCATAAAAAAAGTTTAAAAGTTAAAAAAAAAAAAAAAAAAAAGTTAAAAGTTTCTAAAAAAAATTTAAAAAAATTTTTTCCAAAAAAAGAAAGAAAAAGAAAAAAAGGCGCACGTGAAGAAAAAGAAACAATATACTTATGTTAAAAATAATTCCGGTTTTATGCTTTATGTAATTGCTGAATAGACAGGAAAATTAGATATTATCTGTAGGCTCATGATCCAATAGAACTGAAAATAAATATCAATAAACGAAAATATAATTGGCACAAGGTACATGCGTTCATGCGTAACGAATTCCTGAACTTTATATAATTATCTGGAGTAGAATGAATCATATTTTAATTCACTACATATGTACATGTGTACATTCTTTTTTGATGATCAACTAGGCTAGCTGCGCGACGTAGTCGCGCTAAAACCAGGAACGTTGTGTGAATGTATAGTAGTATAGGTTAGATTTT